TGCTCAAAACGCGCTGCGGGACCTTTTGCTTCGTCTTGACGCGCGTCAACCATTGACTTTGCATGTAAACTCGCTGCTTCTGTCGCGCCAGCTGCGTTCGTCTGTCTGCTAAGCTCAAAACAACCGCGCCTGGCTTGACGGAGAAACCAGGAGAACAGCTGAGCATATTTACGACAGTACACTTTTACTTTCGCGCTCTGGGGGGAGCCTCGCTGAAAAATCAACACCGGTTGCATAGTATACCTTTAAAGTCGTAGAGAAACGTCCAAACGTTGCATTTCCAAATTCTCCCGACTTTAAACGAGTGAATAAAGTGAATGTGATTGGTCGTTTATCAGGGGGGGCGGGATTGCTGTAGCGGAAGGTTCGCATCAACTTTGGTTGTGGCCGGTTTGTCGGAAGCATCTTGCTAACCGGTTAGCAACTTAGTGCTAATAGGTTCCCAATGGGAAATTCCATTGTTGGAAGACTGTTGATTGTGTATCAAGAGATATTTTTAGATGTATATTTGATTTTTAGTTTTCTTAATGTAGACGTTAATTCGGAGCTAAGCCCTGAACACACCGAGTCCGGTTTGGTGTCGGATCAGACAGGAAATCGTTTATTATGAGGTTGTTGCTTTTAGCTCTCATTGAGAGTGAATGGGGATGAAAAAACCCGACACATAGCGTAAATCCACTGACGCATCTAACCATCCAGCTCTATTTATGAGAGTTCTTAAAGCTCAGATGGATTTCAAATCTGCCCAGTTGGGACCAACATGCTCTGTAGAAAACCCTTCTGATGTTTGGATTCAGTAGTTAAATGTAGGAGAATTTGATTCTTACATTAATCCTCACACGGTCGTAATCAGACTGCATGAAATTAGCTGTAAATCTGTTTAGTTAAGCTCTGATTTATCAAATACTATCTGAATTCAGACGCCTTGCAGTTAATCCAACATTTTCCTTGTGGGTTTTTTTTGGGTTTTTTTTTTTTTTTTTTTACTTTTGATTAGAAAATTAGATTCTAATGGTACAGCTATTTTTGAAAAGCAAATATGTTTTTCCTTCACTGTCTGCTGATTTGCTTTCCTGATGTTTTTGCTTTTGATCTTCCCTTTTTTTCCGTTTATATTCATAGCAACATCTGGGCCTCCAAATCTCCTGGACTTAATATGTTATATGTTATCATCCTCATGTTTGGAGTTTTTCAAAGTTGTGTATAATTTGTGTTAGGTTCGAAAATGTAGGTTCGTAAAAGAGAGACTGAGTCCACACGGGAAAGAGATTCAAACAACTCCTGCAGGAGTGGAAAGAGCCCAACCTAACTTCCAACTCTTTCAACGACCCCCCTCCTGCAGTCGTCTTTTATTAACAGAACATAACACATGGTTACAAAAGAGAGTATTGTTCTGACAGGAAAGTTGATCAGGTCATAAGACACGATGCTCTCCTCTTGACTGAATCTCAAGGCAGAGTGAAGCATCTCATTTCTACAATGTTTCATATGAACACATGTTATTTTTTATAATCATCATTAAATAAACCTAACAATTTGTGCTACTTGGTACACAGAAAACCCTTCAAGATTAGAGATTTAACAAAACCATTCAAGGCAAATTAACCTTTAATGACTTATAAAAAAAATAATATTCTTTCAGTAAACTGCTGCAGTGTTAAATCATTCTGTTCCCTTTAAATTTTCTCTTTTGCTCTGAGACATTTAAAACCCTTAAAGCACTTTAAAAACAGAAAAATATCCCATATTTAATACTATTACAGTAGCAGGGACAGTGTGGCAGGGCTATTTTACACCTCGGAAGTTCAAATTGTTAACTGCACTAAGAAAAGCACCATCATTCCTTGTTTNAATAAACCTAACAATTTGTGCTACTTGGTACACAGAAAACCCTTCAAGATTAGAGATTTAACAAAACCATTCAAGGCAAATTAACCTTTAATGACTTATAAAAAAAATAATATTCTTTCAGTAAACTGCTGCAGTGTTAAATCATTCTGTTCCCTTTAAATTTTCTCTTTTGCTCTGAGACATTTAAAACCCTTAAAGCACTTTAAAAACAGAAAAATATCCCATATTTAATACTATTACAGTAGCAGGGACAGTGTGGCAGGGCTATTTTACACCTCGGAAGTTCAAATTGTTAACTGCACTAAGAAAAGCACCATCATTCCTTGTTTGTCGTCTTGTCTCATGTCGACTCCTTCATCTTTAACCTATGTAAAAAAAAATTGAAGAAAGATCGCGGACAGGCCCCCAAGTTAAATCACATTTTCTCTTAAAAAAACAAACAAAAAAACAAGCAAGATGCAATGTAAATGGTTGCCATTCTGCTTTGCTAATTAATCAACTAACCAACTTCCATTTTCAATTCAGTTTATTTATATAGCGGCGATTCAAAACGCATACTTTACAAATATCTAGGTTTGTCCCGATTTACAAACCATATCATAAAACAGGCTTTTATACCCCATTTACACTACCCTTGAAAAACCGATCCATGCCGAGACCGGTCCGAGGTCGGATCAGTTAACCAGGCCGAGCTCGGTTCTGATGACCGTTTACACATCACGCTATCTCGGTTCCTCGACTCGTCGCCTCCTAGTGTCGATCTGCGGTGTTACTGCCAGTATCGAAGGAGGAAATCAAGCAGTTGGTGGCGGTAATGCACCAAAAGTTGTTTGCCAACCGCCATAAAACACAAGAAGAAGAAGACGAAGAAGGAGGGAATCAAGCAAATCAAAATGGCCGCGCCCATCACATTCAGAAAGTTATGCTCGATTATTATTGCTGTACTTCGGTGTTATTATTTAAAATGCCATTATTTGAAATGTTGCATGGAGAAGATTTCGATTGTTGTTTATAGTTGAAGAAGAAGTTGCTCCTCTTCTGTTTCTGGAGGGGAACCAATAAGAGCAGCTGATCTGGGAGCTGGGATCACTCCTCTGAAACGGTTTATTAACACCTAAATTAACGTAAAATTTCAAAATCTGATGGTAAAATATGTCCGCTTTTATTATCCTGGTACCTGCAGTTGTACCACAAACCTACATCCACTCTACACTATGCGTATTTCCCTGTACCGGCTAGTTTTTTCTCTCCACTGTCGCTACAAGCATGCTTGATGTGAAGGATAGCATTCGAGTCAGTGAGTCGATGCAATCAACTGGTTTTCCTTAGATGGAAAGCTTTGAATCTTTTGACTTGATGATCTGATTGAATTGTCTCTGTAAAGCACCGTGAGATGACATCGGTTGCTATAGAAATAAACTGAATTGAATTGAATTTCTAGAAGCTTGAATTTAAATGATCTCTGTTCCCACTGTGTATAAGTATGGCTGCTGTTACAAACCAATTCATGTTGAGAACTGCTTGGCTGGCATTAGAATAGAATAGAATAGAATAGAATAGAATAGAATAGAATAGAATAGAATAGAATAGAACTTTATTGATCTCACAATGGAGAAATTTATTCTTAAAAACAAGCAGAAGGTTTACAAAAGAGGAAAAGGTGCATTAAGTATATGCAGTGCATCCTGATATATACAGGTGTTGGTAAACATAAAGAAGAAGAGATTTAAGGGGACTTATTTACAGTAACGATATAAAAATATAAAGATATAAAAAAGATATGTTATTACACAAGTCTTTGAGTAAAGGAGCTGCTCAGCTCCTCTCCAGTCTGCTGCAGAGGGTGGAAGGTGGCGTCCATGATGGATGGAAGCTTGGACAGCACCTTCCTCTCAGCTAATGAGTCCAGAGAGGACAGAAACGGCCTTTCTCACCACTTTGTTCAGTCTTTTTCGGTCCCGCTCTTCGCTGC